TCCAGCCCTTCAAATGGTGCTGCAATGGTATTTGAACACAATAAAACAGCCGGTAAAACGCTTCCAGGATCATGATAAATTATAACACGTAACATATTTGTCAGCAGATCAACTATTTTAAGTCTACTTTTTGCTTGATCAATAAGAAAAAATGAGTCGGATAAAAATTTATATAAAATGTTATTTTTATAACGATCAAATAACTTTCTTCTATCATATAAAGCTGGATCAAAATCAAAAACATCCATATCTATAGAAATCGGGTTTATTCGAACATCAGGTTCAATTTCTAATACTTCCTGACCATCATTTTTGTTATTGATTTCTTTATGTGAAAGAAAAAACTTTGTTTGTAAAGCTGCTGCAGAAGCAGTAGTAGTATCTTCAGTATTTTCAACAATTTCAACAATTGTATCACTTGTTTCTGTAACTTTTTTCTTTGCCACTACTAATTCTTTTTTTGCCACTGGCGCTTCTTTTCGTTTATTGAAAAAGTGCTCTATTGAAGATTGATTTGTGTCATTATCATTCTTTTTCTTTTTCTTAAAAGTAGGATTACGCGTTGGAACTATTAACTTTCTTTTCATTTTAAGGATTTTTTACAAATTTACGTATTTGAGCTAAATAATATACTAATACAGTTAGGAATTTTACCAAATTTGGAAGCCCATTTATCGATATAAAATCAATAATAAGGTACGTGTCAAGAATTTAATTTTTTTTAAAAAAAAATTTTTTTTTCTGACCTTTAGTGAATAAAAGCACTGTTACCACCCCATTGACACTTTACACAGCGAGTCTCGGTATAATGGTATTTAACTAGTACAAATTTAGAAACCATCTGCAAAAAAATTGAATTTGATTGGATATTTTGCAGATAGTTTCTAAATTTGTACTAGTTAAATATCCGTTATACCGAAACTCACCGTGTACCTTGCTTATTTGCTATATTTATTCAAAAATGTAATTCGAGTCCATGTGAAACTAAAAGTGATCAAACTTGAAGACGAGCATCAGGAAGCAAAAGTAGCTGGGCTCAGCAATCTGAAAAATCTAAAACAGTTATTGATCCCAACTATACATGCAGCCCAAAGTACCATACACAAAGTTTAGATACTTAAAAT